CTTGAGTATAAAAACAGCAACTCTAGCTCCCGAGTATAAACCAGCCACTCGAGCTCGCGAGAATAAACGGTTAGCACTCGAGCTCGCGAGGGAAAATCGTCAGCGGCTCAAGCTCGCGAGGTTAAATGAGCCACTCTAGCTTCGGAGTATAAAACAGTGAAATCAATCAAACAACTCCTTGGGCTTTGTTTTGAAACAGCGCGTTAATGGTTTGCACGGTTTCTGCCACTGGTAGGTTTTATCCGACACAAGTTCAGTCCTATATTGTACTTGCCAAACTCCTATATGCTGACACAGATGTAAAGTAGCTTCAAGGATTCAAACACGAGGGGGGGGGGGGTCAGATATATTACTTAGGGTTTATTCAGGGATATTTTCTGATTGGATATAAACCCAGTTTAGGGTTTATATTCTAGAGTGAACACATGACCTGAAGAACTGGATGATAATCAGACAATATTCAATAAATAGCCAGCGACTCACCTCTAACAAGGGGAGTACGTTGAGATATAGTTATCTACCGCGTATTTACTACAAAGTGACTGGTAGTGAACTTGTGGTTACCGGGGCAGACAGGGCAGAGACAGCCGTCGGTGCGGTAGTCGAGCAATGTGAACATGTATGTATTCGTTACAATCATAGCACAGAGCCGGATTGGTGTAGACTCGAAGCAGCGATTGAAGCTGTCGTGTCTGGTTGAAAAAATTGGTATTAAGTTTTGGATTCTGCCAATTTGGGGTTAAGTATTAATAGAAATTGGGTTCACATTCTTAATTATTACAAAATATTTATGTGCTTTTACAAAATGCAATAAAAAAACGTACAGATCGATACATAATAATGACATGGTAGCTCTGCTCCTAGCTAATAGTAGAGTAGCTAGTGACCTACAGTTAATACTACTAATATAGTAGTAGAGTCTGAACTCTGAAGACTGAAGTCTCGCTGTTGGTCTGTCACTCTCCCACAGGCCACTACTATTCACTCTCCCATACACAAGAGAGAGAAGCAAGCCCCGGCCTCCCCAGAAGGCAGTCTTCAGACTTCAAACAATTTGAATTTTTACCATGGGCGCACTATAAATAAATACACTACAATAGGAAATTCACAACTCCACACTCCACATTCCACACTCCACACTCCACAATACCCCAGCCCCCAGGCCCAGGAACCCAGCCTCCAGGCCCCGGCCTACAGGGCCCCGGCCCACAGGACCCCGGCCCACAGGACCCCGGCCCACAGGACCCCGGCCCACAGTCACACAGTCACACAGTCACACACAAACCGATTTTAGCCCCCCCAAAACCCCCCCAGCCTTCTATGACAATCTGATGAAAATGCGCTGTCGGGCACGAGGAAAAAAAAATCACATCATTCTTACCCTCACCCCAACATGTGATTTATGCGATCGGAGCATTTGTATCACAAAATAATAAATAGGCTATAAAAAGTTATAATTTAGTGCTTGATTTTGTACCATGCACCTAAAAAAGTTTTTATATAAAAAAGTATCTCCTAATATTTCAGTAAAACATTAGACCTTAAAAATACCTGAGCAACTGTATTTACTTTATTTTGTTTTTGGAAATGATTGGTGAACTATTGGTGACTGAATCCTCTGGAATTTATCCTCAAGAGTCAGGCAGCTGTGCGCCTGATCGCGCGCCTGACCGAACTTGATTCTCGGTCAGACTTAGTACGAATGTCTTTATACGGCACTGGTGACAATAAAAGTATTAACCACCCCAGGGCCAGTTTCCTACCAGTCGCATACTTGTACTTTTTCGAATTTAATTTGCTTAAATATAGGTGTATTAATGTAATTAGCGTGATTTTAAGCCCTTGTGAAATGTGTTTGTTAATTGCCGGTTTGATTGTTATCTGTCGGCTGAAAACGCTCGACTTAAAATGTTAGATATTGTAGCGCGGATACAACCCATTCGTTGCACTTATGCTAGGTCCTTGTCGGTCTTAAGGACTTGACATATATTAGCAGTTAGACACATGTATATAGGCGTCCTCTGTCTTAGCTATTGCTTCGGATTCGCCCATGGTTTTACAGTTGACACTATTCTTGTCTAACATACGACGACCTCTCCTCTGAGGCCGACTAAGAACTAATACAAGTGCAATAAATGGGCTAATATCACGCTAATTACATCTTAAAAGCAAAGAAAACTCAAAAAAAGTAAAAGTACAAGACTGGTAGGGAACTGGGCCAGAGATGGTTAATATTTTTATTGTCACCAGTGCCGTATAAAAACATTCGTCTGTAGAGTGTAGACTGTAGTAGAAGACGAAGAGTCAGAATATTTTTTTTAAATAGTACTTCAAAAGCAGTCTCAGACTCTCAGTGACGACTATACTCTGAGTCTGTATGTATTCTTTACTCTGTACTCCGTAGTCTGTAGACTCTGTAGTCTGCTGTTTTCAAACAAATATTTGATATTTTGACCAATTCTGATGCAAACGGAAATAAAAAAGGACTATTCCGAGTTTTTGACAACGACAATTAAACGAATTTTGTTTCCTGTGAGTTTCCTCTCGCGTGTTCTGAGTTCTGACGGGCTGACGGCTGACAATTGACCAACACATCGCAGCCTTTATAAAATTGAACACACTAAAAGTCTGAATTATTTTCCGTTTACTCTTTTGCTATTACATATTTATAAAAAAACAAAAAAACATCAAGAGCAAAAAGGCGGAGCGAGTAGCGACTAGCGAGAGCGACTAGCGAGTTAGCGACAGGTCACTTTTTTAATGTTTTTAACAAATAGGTCCGGTTCGTTGCTTTTTTTAGTATAAACTAAACTTTGAAAAATATTCGCCTAGGAGGCGGGAAAGGTCAAGGATTCGCAATTTCACAAAGTTACAAGTGAAGGGGTAAACTTCCAAATCAATTGGACCGTTCAGTCGTTCACTCTAAAAAGTTTTTTTTGTTTTTAACAAATAGACAATGTGATTTTTGTCATACATAAATACATAGCTCTCTAAATTGAATAGAGAGTGTGTGTGTGTTTTCCACGGGCCACCTGATCTTCTGAGTCCGGACTCCAGAGTCCAAGGCTCCAGGGCCCAGGCTGCCAACCCTACGGACTACACCCGCTACTAGTAGAGCATGATAGGTTTACTGTAGAGGCCATAAACTAACAAAGTGCTCTCAAATACGTAAAATACATGTAATATTTGTGGCTGCGGTCGTATCGGAATAGTACGTTTACTATTTCGGGACAAATATTCAAAGAAATGTCTTGAGGAGCCGTGTGTAGGACTGTAGGCCTGGATATCACACGAACAGACACCACAGTCACACTCATATTAACTGTTTTAAAAATATAGAAAAATGAGACTCGAGACTCGAGACACGAGACATAGTGCCGCAGTGACGCAGCCCAACTGATGGAGCCCCGCAGGTGGATATTTAGTAACAAAATTAAAAATATAAATAGGCAAATAAATACATAGCCGACACTCGACAGTCCTTTTTTTTTAATAGATTTATTGAATTCTGTATTTACTTATTTTTAAATATATATAAATTTAAAATAAACAAACAATAACAAATGTATAATATTCACGTTTTCGTGATAAATTGATAAATTATGTCATTGTGAGCACAATTTCCAATGTTTTTACCGGCCGAGCTCGTCGCCTCTCATCCATTGTCAACGGCAAAGACTCCTTGTGGTATTTATTATCAGTATGTACCAGACTTCAATTCGTACCTCACTTTTGGTGTAAACGTAGTACGTTTTGTTAACGTTCAGGTTTGAAACCGTTTCCCGTTTTCAGGTAGCTTACTGGCAGCCAATTCTTAAAATCAATTTTGGTTGGTTGTAGCTTATATGGCCTAATTAACAGCTGCTATGTTTTGTTTAGAAAATCTGTCCAACTATAAACAAGTCAACAAATATTTTGGTGAAATATAGTTGGCGAATTATGCCAAATATAAGGGAGGGCACAAACCAAGACCCCTATAACGTATGAGAACGTAGTACGTTTTACGTTAACGTATCAATTTGAAAGCGTATTTACGTATTACGAATTGAAGTCTGGTATGTACTATGTACTATTCAGTAGATGATGGTCGTACGACGTGCAGTCGTACACTTATACGGTTTAGTGTATACGGCTATCCACACATGTGCGAGGCTGTGCCCTGGGCGGCTGGGTCCCTGTGTGTTCCCCTGTTCCTGTGTCTCTATAACTAAAGTGCTGAACACTCGGTCACTCTCAGTGAACACGAGTTTTCAAATTCAAATTGTTTGACTTTTTACTATTGTTGTCTACTCTATACTTTACTCTCTGACACTAGGTATACGCTTGTCTTTGCTCATATTTTTCTTAATACTGTTTGTTTTTATTTGCTTTTAAAAACAAATTGTGTATGTATCTGTGGCAATTTGTGTTCGCCTCACTGTTCGGCCTCTGCGGTTCTGACTTCAGTGGCCCGCCTAACGGCTCATGCCTCACGGCTCAACGACTTTTTTTATGTTTTGGTGGTTTTTTACAACAAAAGAAGAAAACGCAAACAAAATCTCAATCTTCAGCTGGGTCTGGACTCTGGACCATCAGAATTGAGAATTCTCCGAGAGCCGCCTCAAAAATTATGTTTGAATTTAGGAGGCTATGTTTATGTATATATACTTCCTGTTTGTTACTTCTGGATCTCATTCCATTAAACACAGATCGTACTCCATTGCTACTTCGGATATCTTCCGACTATCTCACAATCATGAGTTCGCTTCAAAAGATGAACACGAGATTCAACGACTCTGTCGTGGGCCGATACTTTAAGGTCGCTGAAAGAGGTTCCACGCTCACTACCGAGATACGAGCTGGTTTTACCACCTTTCTAACGATGGCGTATATTCTTGCGGTAAATCCTTCAATCATCGGTGACACTGGTGGCCCTTGTGTTACGATGGCTGCCGAGGCAGGTACAGACATCGACCCGGAATGTTTAGCAGACTTCAAGAAAGACTTGGTGGTCGCCACAGCAGTTGCATCACTTATTGCCTGTTTACTAATGGGTATGGTGGCGCGCCTACCTTTCATGCTAATGCCTGGAATGGGCATGAATGCTTACTTCGCTTACCAGGTAGTCGGTTATATGGGAAGCGGTTCAATTCCATACGAAACTGCACTAACAGCAGTGTTTGTTGAAGGACTGATCTTTCTGTTTTTGGCCGTTACCGGATTGAGACAGTATATTGCGGAACTCATTCCTAGACCAGTCCGCATAGCGACAAGCGCGGGTATAGGAATGTTTTTGGCATTCATTGGTTTCCAGACATCGAATGGAATTGGCCTAGTAACTGCTGATCCGGCTACTTTAGTAACTCTTGGCGGATGTGCGCCTGAGAATCGTAGTAGTGAATTCCCAGTAACTTGCGAAACGAAGTTAGATTCGCCATATTTGTGGATTGGTTTGATGGGTCTTTTCATCATGGGTTTGCTAAGTGTGAGAAAATGGGACCTAAGTTTGTTCTTAGGTATCGTATTTGTCACGTGCATATCATGGATTCCGTATACATCATTCTCTCAGTTCCCCGACACCGTGTTAGGTAACGATAGGCTCGATTACTTCAAGCAAGTGATCGACTTTCACAGTATCAGCATGACGGCTGGCGCGCTCGACTTTGAATTCGATAACGCGCAGATGTGGCTAGCTCTCCTTACATTCCTTTACGTCGACCTTTTGGACACTACCGGCACCTTGTACTCGCTGTGTAAGTTTGCTGGGTTTATCGACGAGTCGGATTCTGTTGATTTCGAAGGCAGTTACGCTGCATTTTCCGTTGATGCTGTAGCTACCATCATTGGCTCTACACTTGGTCTCTCGCCCGTCACAACCGCGAGTGAGTCTGGATCGGGTATAGTTGCGGGTGGTCGTACTGGTATTGTGGCGCTAGTAGGTGTGGTTATGTTTTCCTTGTCCTGCTTCTTCGCACCTATCATCGTTAACATTCCAGTGTGGGCCACGGGACCTGCACTGATCATGGTGGGTGTGCTGATGTCGAGAGCTCTGGCTGATGTCGACTGGGAGGATCCTCTGGAAGCCATTCCTGCGTTTGTCACAGCCACTTTGATGCCCTTCACCTATTCCATTGCATATGGTCTCATTGGCGGTATTCTTGTGTACGTTGTGCTGTATACCACCAACGTAGCATGGGATTGGTCTATGTGGGCATTCTACTGGCTCGTTAACAAGGTATTCAAAGCTGAGTGGGAAATGCCCGAGAAAGGTCAGACTCCCATTCCTCGTATGGCGAAGAATCGTCTTCCTCACTCATTTGAGTCATGGAACAAACAGGAAACTGCGAAACAACGCGCTGCTCTTTCTATGAAGGAATTGGACCCCGAGGGTAGTGCCGACGTTGTAACCGTTACCTCAAAAAAGGACAAAGAGGGTGAGAAGGTCGATGACCTGGCGGTAGACGAAATAGAAACAGTTATCACAATCTAGAAGTAGATAATATACATTGTACAATATTAGTGAAACTCGCCCGAAATATCATATATCCCGGCTGCTGAGAAGAAATGCAGTGCAAGAACTTCAGTTTACAGCACTCTGAGGATAATAAACTACCAACCAAACGATTCGTACGGACTTCGCACTTTTATCGCGATCCGCTTGTTCACGTATAATATTTGAGCCTTCAGCAATGCTTGATAAACTACGCCCGATAATTTGAAGTCTATCTACACATTGTGCACCGGAAGACATACTTGTGTGACTATGTTAGCCAATTTCTTATAAATGTGGTCTGTATTAGTTTATTCTTTGCAACTATTCTACTCTGGTTTAAAATCGGTCACCAGATCACAATACGATCTACTCTCCCGTAAAATAAGAGTGCTCGACTGTATCATCCTCGGAGAATTAGTGTAGTATGTGGGACCGCCTCTGAATCTACCTTGAACGAAATTGCATTTTCTTATTCAGAGCATATGATAGTTGAACTTGCACAATGTTTGAACAAAACTGATACTTCACGTTCATGACTTGTGTGCATGACTACCCTTGACTGTGTATGTGTAAATCTTACAGGGCTTGCAATACGAGTGTAAGGTATCCATGTGCAGTACCAAAAACGTTACTGCGCATTCGTAGCTCCCTTTAGGCTTTGGGTGTGTTGCCAGACCCCCGCATTGAAGCAGCCCCGGCGCTAACCAAACCGGGCACATCCAACGAAAAGTAGGGTTTAGTAGACCACTTCACTATGGTCCCAAACTATTTTCTAATGGACAGGACCGGGAGACTTCCGGCCGGTCGTCTATGGACGTTGCATTTCTCCAAACAACTGTAGGGAATACCCAAAAGTAAGAGAAACAACCTATTGGAAGGCGCCTTGTTACACTGGATGTTGCATACCCCGGTTCGTTCGTACGTACTTGGTTAGCTAAAGTCTTCATCGATACTGAAAACATGAGCTTTGATGGGGATAGGTATGGAAAATTCGTTTGTTCCAGGTGCAGCTTCCGGCCCCGGACACATCACCTAGCTTTATCTCTCTTAACCTCCGGTATCCGCAAAGCGGTGACGCATCCGATGAACAGAAACAGCGCCGTCAGCAAGATCGGATATGCTGGGTTGCTATGTACGAGTTTCCTAATTTTGTTGCAGAATAAATGGGGGTTTAAAAAAAAGAGCAGGTAGACTACATACGGCTACCGATCTAATTCAGGGAGTGTAAAGACCGCAGTTATGTATCTGTAATATTTCCATGTCGGGCAAAACGGGTATAGTCCGACGCTGGTCCTATTGCATTCAATTCGGCTCCACACAAACGACACATATTCTGAGTGACTGCATGACGCACATATATCCATACATATTCTGAGTGACTGTATGACGCACTTATATCTATGAAGACCATACACTAGTGATGAATGCAGGACAAGTGTGAGCACCCTTTTCTTGTATGCATTCACGGTCCCGTTTCTCTGCGTGTTTTTGTTTTGTTTTGCAGTCCACATCTCGGTAGGGACTTTTGTTAAGCACCACACCCTTCTGACACGGTTAGTACACACAGCACCCCATAACATCACTAAGACAATCCGCAAGATATACCCACATAAACAGAGCTCTATAGACCTCTGAGTGTAACCTCCATTACATACAGTATACACAACACCCCATAACATCACTATGACAATCCGCAAAATACACCCACATAAACAGAGCCTTATAGACCTCTGAGTGCAACCTCCAGTATATACAGTATACACAACACCCCATAACATCACCAAGACAATCCATAAAGTACACCCACATAAACAGACCCCTATAGACCTCTGAGTGCAACCTCCAGTATATACAGTATACACAACACCCCATAACATCACCAAGACAATCCGCAAAGTACACCCACATAAACAGAGCCCTATAGACCTCTGAGTGCAACCTCCAGTATATACAGTATACACAACACCCCATAACATCCATCACCAAGACAATCCGTAAAGTACACCCACATAAACAGAGCCCTATAGACCTCTGAGTGCAACCTCCAGTCTATACAGCGGGATTGTCACTCACCCGAATGTCGTTGTGGCGACGATAGACGCTATCCTGCCCAGTACTGTGAGTAACCCGAAACCTGTACTCCGCACATCGGCTGGAAACTGCTCTGATCTGTAGCAGCCAGATAAGGAACAAATAGACTGGTTAATGCATGATATAGGCACCATGTAGTAGTAGCAAGACATCCATAGCCTAGATAGTGAATAAATTTTATATATATATATATATATATATATACATATATACATATATATATATATATATATATATATATATATATATATATACTACACACATATAATAG